CTCCCCCTCTCGTTCACTCCTGCAGTGACTCAGCTCCCACAGTTCACGTCTTGTTCACTGATTCTTACACTGACACGTCTGTGACGGGAGGAGACAGAGAAACCTCCTGACTGGGAGGAGCTGGTTGTGTTTGAGAGCTTCAGGATTGACTGTATTTCACAGAGGCCTGTTCAGCCCCGTGTTAAGAGGAGCTGTCAGTGAGAGGCAGAGGATTCGATCCTTCATTCACAACATGCAGTAACAATTAAAGTCAAATCAAATAGATGCTTTAATAATAATACATCACATCTTTACTTATAAAGCACATCTCACAACCAATAAAGAAAAACTCAGTGATAGAAGAATTAAAAACTACAACAGCAGAATAAAGGTTAAGTGAGGTTAAGGTCGTCTTTTCTGTCCCCGRGGACAGTGACACACACGACCCGTACACATCATCACAAACATAAATACAGAAAGACAGCTCCAAGAATCCATCCAAGGTCACGTGACGGCCGACCTCGCTGTGACTCAACGTGTGGTCAAAGCATCAGATAAATGATTCTTAACGGCGTTGAGGGAGTGTTTGACCTCCGCGGACGCTGACGGCAGCTGAGCGACTCGTTATTCTGCAGCAGCGATCAGAGGCTTTCCCCCCCGGCCGTGTCATCAGTATGTGGAGCCCTGAGCCAATCAGGAAGCTCCTGACCGAGCTCTGATGAAATTGGATCGTGTGAACGAGTCAGCACGGTTCCATCTCAGAGCTCACAGAGGTGATGAGAACAGAGGAACGCAGAACGTGAGAGAACTAATTCTGTTCAGCTGCTTTTAATTCACCGCAGGCTGAGACTGTGATGAACCCACAGTCATTACAACCTTTAACCTGCAGGAAGCCATGTTTCATCTCATCCAGGTGGCGCTAACGGGCACTTCCTGGTGTCTCCATGTGGGGAACAGGAATGAGATCAGGATGTTAATGACGGTGTGAGCAGACGTTCTTATATTTGTTATGTAATTGTGTAAATTATGAAAGTTCAGAGGTCAAAGAAGAGAAGAGCATCAGTGTTCAGGTGAATCTTTACTGTGAGCGCTGAGATACATGAGACATGAGACTGAGACATGAGACTGAGACATGAGACTGAGACATGAGACTGAGACTGAGACATGAGACTGAGACATGAGACTGAGACATGAGACTGAGACTGAGACATGAGACATGAGACATGAGACAGAGACATGAGACTGAGACATGAGACATGAGACAGAGACATGAGACATGAGACTGAGACAGAGACATGAGACATGAGACTGAGACTGAGACATGAGACATGAGACTGAGACTGAGACATGAGACTGAGACATGAGACTGAGACTGAGACATGAGACATGAGACTTCTCTCAAATTTTCCTGAGGACAAATATGGGGAGAGCGGAATGAATTCATCATTTATCATTTACTGACTCTGAAGGACACTAAAAGTCTCGTTCAGACTGAGACCAGATATTTGTCTCAGTGCTGCTGAGTGTGATGAGCTCAAACTATCAGATGAGCATGAAAGCGTCTGAGGGTTTGGAGGTGAGAGCTGCTGCTGCTGCAGATCTTCAACAACGCCATTATTGCACCGCGAAGCAGAACAAGACACGATGGCTTCACATCGATTTACAGCAGAGAGAGAGAGCGAGGGGGGGGGAAGAGAGAGACAGAGAGAGAGAGGATGGAGAGAGAGAGAGAGGAAGAGGGAGGAAGAGAGAGACAGAGAGAGAGAGACCAGGAACACTTCACCATCAGGTTTCCGCTCTAATCAACGTCCTCAGTTTCTTTTCTTTTTTTTTGGAACTCATATTTTATTTTCACCAAAATCTTCCATTCCATACAAACAGTTCAATCTCAGTCTGTTTTTCATCTGAAGTAAAAAATATTTTATCTTATTGAAAACACTTCATTCATCCTTCAAACGTGAGACAATCAAATACAAACAATGTCAAAATGTTTCAAAATAAAAGAAACAGTCTGATTTATGAACTTTCGGTAGTTTTCTCTTCTGTCCATCGGTTTCTTGTTTATTCATTTGTGTGTCGGCCGGATGAACTCAGATCTGTTAAACCTCCTCACTGACCTCCACAACCTCCCATTACCTAAAAAGCTGCAGGTAGAACCTTGTAAATGACCATTACAACCTTGATAAGACCAACAGAACCTTCTAGAGGAGCTCTAGAACCTTCTTACTATCCACCATAGCCTCCTAGAAGACAAGTAGAACCTTCTTATTGACAACAAAACCTTCTAAAACCATCAATAGAAGCTCTTCAATGATCATTTCAACCCAAACAAGTCTTGGAAAATACTAAAGTGTCCCTGGAACCTTCTCATTGACCACTAACACGTCCTGAAAGAGAAAACCTGGTTTACTATCTTGAAATAACTGTTTCAAAACAGTGACTGATCACAAACACTTAGGAGAAAGAACAACCTGAAACCCTCTTCGACAAACTTTTATTAACATCTACTTTATTTTGTAGTTTGGTCCATGTCCCATCTGTTAACACGGAGGAGGAAGTTAATGACCGTTACTGCAGCCAGACACCAGGGGGCGATCAAGACGCTTTTGGGAGTCGTCCATCTTTATTTCCAGGGGATGTTTTAGTTTTTTCTCTGCTTGATTTTAAGAGGCTGTGGTTACCTGAGTGACTCGTGTGGTTCTATGACGTGCACACGATGTTCAGAGAACCGGAGCGGAACACGAACTCATCTGTACACGTTTCTTCACTTCCTCTGAGATGCTGTGAGTGTTTTCTGAAAACAGATGTGAGAAACATCTGCTCAGGTGTTTATTGTTCCGTGTTTAAAGGAGCCGATAGGTAACGACTCAGACTTAATGGATCGGAGGAAATCTGTAAATCAGTTCATTGATTGTCTGGATCAATAAAGGTTTTATTAAATCCACCGTCAGGCTCAAGGGCTCGTTAAGTGACGCAGCTGAAGAAACTTTATGAATCCAGGTGTAGATAAATGTAACGGCGCTGAATCATCTTCCATCAGGTCAAAACAGAATAAATAAACATTTACTGTCTGACGTCTTATTCTCAGTTTTCTTCAGGGATCAGACTTTTTAAACCTGCTGGTTCTGTGGTTCTATTTTGACATTAAACACTAAACACAAACTTCAGGCTTTTTATAACGTGCTTAAATAATCTTCACCTTTTTAGTTTTCAAAAATCTTTCTGGATTGTAATATTTTTAGATTTTATTTATTCCGATGTTTCCATCAACTTTTGTGTTGTCGAGGTCGACGCTGATGGTTGTTCCCCTCAGAATAAGTGATCTGGATGTGTGTGTGTGTGTGTGTGTGTGTGTGTGTCTGTGTGTGTGTGTGTGTGAGAGTGTGTGTGTGTGTGTGTGTGTGTGTGTGTGTGTGTTGTCTGAAGACTTTATGTAAGCTGCTCGTTCTCAAGCAGGTGTGGTGTTGGTAGAGCAAACAGTGCAGAGGTTTACAATGACAGAGCGCTGAGTTCACAACTTGACTCTCACTCACACACACACACACACACACACACACACACACACACACACACACACACACACACAGACACACACACGTGACCCAGAGTCAGAACAACGAGCAGCGACTCACCCTCTTCCTCAGGTTGTACGTGAGAACCAGGTTTCGGGCGAAGTGGTTTGCGAAGTTGGCGTAAAACTCGAGGACTTTCTGCAGCGCGTCTCGTTTGATGATGTGAAGGTCGCAGTAGGTCAACGCTCTCACGTTGGCACACGACTGGGCCAACGTCATCTCCTTCCAGAAGACGTCCCCGAACACGTCCCCTTTACCTGCAGATGGACAGACAGGTCTCAATCAAGTCTATAGTTCATTGCTGTGGACCTTGTTGGGCCTGACTCTGGACAACGTGTCTTCTCTTCCTCCGCTTGTACAAAGATGTATCTAAAATATCTCAGATAGGAGCGACTGGTGCAGGTGTCTCTACTTTGGCTTCTTCATTCTTCAATCAAGAAGGAAACAGTCTGTCTACACTTTCAATAAAAAATGATATCATCAATGAACATATTTCATATCTGTTCAAAGACAAAGATTATTTTAAAGTTGAACGAGTGAGATTCATCGAGCACATCTCAGCTTCTGATGATGAAAGACGTCACAGGATGAAAATTATGAACGAAGAAAAGTGCTGCAGCGAAAACAGACATTTATCAAAGTGAGCGATGTTCAGACGCAGCTTCTGTCTTATTGTGAAAAGAGGAAGTGACTTTAAATAGTCTATCCATCTAAATATTTATCCGGAGAGTAACCGAAGCAGATTCGGATGAAACATCTGGTAATTATCTGGAAGATGAAGAACAGCCTCCTGGTGACAGATCCTCCATTATCTACGGGAGGCGTTGGAGTCAATCCCAGCAGGCACTGGGGCGAGAGGCTACACCCTGGACAGGTCGTACATTTATCTCCGGGCCGACGCTCAAACCTACAAACAGTTTAGAGTCTGCATTTAACTGAAGCTGCACAGCCAGAGCAGACACCTGACTGCAGCGCCGCCCTGTCTGCCAGGAGTCGCACTGCACGGTTACAGCAGTGTCAACAAACTGAACTGTGAGTTCAGTCATGTGACGCATAAATGTTCTGACTGATGCATTTTACTTTAGCTTGAAATGAGTTTAAAATGCATAAGATGGCGTCTGTAGACTGAATATGAGGAGGCTGTTATAGAGCGTCAGTGAACACAGAGCGAAACAAACCGACAGCTGATCGTTCAGCCGCCTCCATCATCTCTGACATCATCATCATCTCTGACATCATTAACATCTCTGACATCATCAACATCATCTCTCACAGTATATATGTGTATATGTGTGTATATATGTGTGTATATATATATATATATATACACATATGTACTGTCACCATCGTAGAGAAACATTCTTTGAGAAACATTTTTGGAACGTATACTTGTCACGTCGTCCATCTTTATTTAGTATATAGTTCTCAGTCAAACTGTTACTCACCCAAAATGGCCACCACCTCGTCATCCTGGATGACCTCCAGTGACCCCGACACCACGAAACAGAGGCTGTCCACGCTCTCCCCGGCGTGGAAGATGAGGTCGCCCGGCGCACTGTGGACGGTCTGGAACTCCATGGCGAGGGCTCGCAGGCAGCCGTCGCTCGCCAGCCGAAATCCCGGATGTTCCTTAAACACCTTCCTGTTGAGGTGGACGCAGATGTCCGCTCGCATGTCCTTCGGACAGATCTGCAGGACCTGTGGACACAGTGGAGTCAAACCTGGGTTAGACAGAGTCAGACCAGGAGCCAATGAGAACACGGAGCATTGATGTAGAGCGCCACACGTGTGAATCCTCTGTGACACTGTCATGATGGCGAGCGGGACTGAGGTGTTACCTTATCGGTGTCGATGCCTCTGGACATGGACCAGGTGGACACAATGTAATCCATCACTCGCTCACTCAGACCTTTGGGGACTTGGTAGAGTTTGAGGAAGTCTCTCACACTGTTGAGCATCTCATGGTAACGGTTTGTGTTGGCGTACATCTGCTGGAAGATGGTGGTGACGTTACCGAAGATGGTGGCGTACAGCAGCGCTGCAGAAAGGAAGGAAAACTCTTTTTATACGACCGGATATGTTTAGACACAACATGATTAAAACAGATTTGTTGCAGCACGAGAGGATTTTCAAAAAAGTGGGAGACAGAGGAAACCGATTTTAATCTTTCAATCGTGTGAACGCACACATCAGATGTGACTTCAGAACCAAAACAAACATGGAGGTGGAGCCGGCGTCCTCAGCTGGTTGCGATTGTTTGTGTGAAGGTTTGTGAATATATATTTTTTATATAAATACTTTTCGTGCGTCACAGGCAGGTGAGCGGTTGGTGTCACCTCGAAGCTGCAGCTCCTCCCCCCCGGCCTGTCAGCAGAACAGGGTCATCGGATCAATACTGACTCCGACCAGGGGGGAGGAGCCGTGGAGCTGACAGTAAGTCACCATCATTAGACGGGACACTGGTGACCTTCAGAAAGGTCACAGTCCAGAGGCAGCGGTGGAGCCGAGACAAGACGACGGGTCCGGAACCAGAGCTTCACCGCTGAGAAGCAGGAGTCAACGTTCTTTTTATTTTATGGGACTAATTACTTCTGTTCTATCTGAAACATTTCTATAAACTATTAGTTTATATATAAACTATTAGTTCATAGAAACATATTCTCTGTTGTTATTTTCATAAACATTATTATTGAAAGTCTTGGCGACATATTCTCAGAGAAATAGATCCTGGTTTAATTCTACTTCTAGACTTTATTGAACACGATGGATATTTCATTACAACGATGTCGACATGTTCATGAATCGTAGAGTTCTGATGGTGCAGCGAGGGAAACATCAGGGATGATGCACCTAACAAAGGACACGTCGTCTGACGGCAGCGTCATGTCCATGTGAAACAGGGGGCGCTCACACGTTTGTTTTTATGTCAACCAGTTTTTACACCAGGTTTAGTTTTTAGTTTCGGAAGATTTCTGTCATAAACAGTTCTTCAGATACAAGATTTCTCTGGTTCGACTTCACGTCAGGTTAAAGAGTTGAAGAGTGGACACAAGCACTGAGGCCACTTCAGTCTTTATAGTTTTCTGTTACTTCAGCTGCTTCAATTTCAAAGAGTCAGGAGCTGATCCTGGATCAGGTTTAATTAAAGAATTGATTGAGATAATTAATTATTCATTTAAGCTGATTGTTCAGCAAAAAATGCTTCGATCGTTAGTCTGGAGCAATAAAAACGCACATATTTCACCTTTAACTTCACGGAAATGTTTATGGAAGTGGTTTATTCTCTGTGGGACGTCCGGTCACAATTCATCTTCTGGTCCAGTCTGAGGGATAAATGATGTTCTGTTCTTCCTCTCAGATCCCGTCCTGATGTCACAGGAAACGTTCAGCCAGGACGCTGCTCGGTGTCATAGCAACCACTTTACATCACCCAACCATCTACTTATAGACGCTGTGGGACAGGAAGCTGATCCAAGGAGGAGGGGGAGCGTCAGTACAACACTCTGCTTCCTTCTTATGAATCTAAAGCTGCTTTCAGATGTGAACTGAGCCGCTAACATGTTCTGACATGTTCTGACACGTCCCAGCCCGTTTTTATGTCATCAAATAACTAATGAAGAAGAACCTGTGGCAGCTTCAGTCGTCATAAAGACTCAAAACGTTTTAGTTTGTCCAGTCTGGACTAATGTAAACAACATGGCGGCATGTAAATATAAAGTATTTAAATATAAAGGATCTTTTCTAGGGTAAAACTACAATTCAAACAATTTAGGTAAAACACACTAGTGAGGACATCATGAGGATTATTCTACACTGAATAGATCCTGTCACCTGAATCCTGAACACTGGACCTTTAACGTCACTTTTGGGAGCCGTCATGCCGTCCGTCTTTATTTTTCAGTTCATGGTGATAAACCAAATGAAAACCATGAACCTGACAAACGAAGAGTCTGAACAGTGTTGGTACTAAATCCAGTCAGTACATGAACAGAAGATCAGAAGGTTAAAGTTATGTGGTGAGAGAGAGGGAACGTGACGGTGGATCCCGGAGTGACACCAGACGACGGCAGTTTCCGATGAAGGAGACAGATCGTCAACATTAAAGCTCTTTGTCCCTCGGCTCAGTGAAGAAAAGCTTTTACCAGCAGACGTCTCCTTGCCTCTGGAAAACCTCCACAGACTGTCTGTCCACCTGCCGTCACCGACCGACGTCAACAAAGACGTACTTTTACTTTCACAACTACAGTGAAAAAACACTTTACTTTCCTACTTTAAGCTGATTTGAACGCTTTAGTTTCCAGTTAATTTTCGAAATAAAAACAAGTGATGTTTCTTTGAATCAGGAGGAGCAGCGTTTCCAAACTTCTCTGTTTTATCAGCTCAAAAGAAATGAGAACGTAGTCGTGTGGACGAGTGAATCTGTGAGAAGTTGTGAGAAGTTTGTGTTTGTAGAGAAGTCGATGCAGATTCCTGAGGAGTTTTATAATCCTGTGTTTGCTGGAAACAGATTCTAATCTACCAGCTGCAGCAGCTGCTGGAGTCGTCCTCCGTGCTTCACATATTGTCTGTGGTTAAAAAATATGACTGAGCCGTCGCTGCAGCGTTCAGGCAGGATGCAGTCGTCCTGCTGAGCAGCTGCGCGAGAGCAGGCTGCAGCAGGGAGGACACGAGTCCAGCTGATCTGACAGTACTGTTCACATTTCAGAGAGGGACTCCATCCAGACCTCGGCGTGTCACGCCTCATCACGTCACTGCTAACGGAGACCAGGTCCCTCCGTCGGTTTGGATCCCAGCAACAGAGTCCAACAGGACAGCAGGTCGATGACGAAAAGTAAAGGTCAAACGTTAAAGTCACGCTGAGCGTCTCACTTCCTGCACAACGTTTGATTATTTCATTTGTTCTGAAATTAAAATGGATCAATCAAATCATATAATATTATAATATAATATTATAATATAATATTATATTATATTATATTATGTTCTGAGACTTTTATGTCACAGATCATATATTTAATTTTCTCTCAGTTGATTCAAATGTTAAATAAAAAGTGACAGTCTGAATCCCCGCTGAGCTTCATAAGATAAATTATTGACTTTCTGACGTCTGGAGGCCAAACCCCAAAAGCTCTGAGATGCACTGACGAAGAAATTCATTCATTTGATTTGTGGCATTTAATAAACTTTTGGTTCTGGGTGATGTCTCATTTTTGATGAAACTTTCATTTTGATGAATTATTTTTGAATTTATACATTTTCTTTTTTTTTTCGTGTCACAACAATCTTCAAACTGTAGAAGTCGTCAGTTCTGTTCTGTGAGCGGAGTCGAACCACGACCCCGGAGGATTTCACCGTGTCAACGCTGAAGTCTGAGCTGAACCAGGTGTTAAACCTTCCTCCGTCACTTCTCTAACACAACACCTCATGAATATGCTTATTGACGCACTGCGGCTCCGGGACAGCTGTAAAACATTGACGCTACGTCCACACGAATACGTTTTCGTTGGAAAACACATCAGCTCTTCTCCAAATACGTCCGACGTACACACCGCCATTCATTCATTCAGGTGTGTCGTTAGTACGGACGAGGAATAGAACTCATACGGAGCCGACGTGTTCATGTGGACAGACATGGTTTCGTTTTAAAGCGTTATCGTAAGGATGTAGCCTGGTTGTTCACACTCCAGGTTTGAATCTCAACTTCCTGTTCTCTGGGTCCATGCTGTTCTCAACATCTGAAATGATCCAGAGTTCATTTGCACGTTGAGTGACTGATAAAAACCTTGTGAAGCTTCTTCCTGGTTGTGCCAAACAAAGTTGTGAAGCTAGCTGCAGCGAAGACGGGCGATGTGTAGCAGCCGATAACGTAAAGAACACGCACGATCGTTCATTCCAGTTTCAAAATGTCCGATAAAAACACCACATTCACAAACACTGTGTTCATTTTGACCTCCTGCTCACCACAGGTCGGATCAATAACGAGACATGAGAGCAACTTACATCCGATCATCATCATGGCCACGGCGAAGATCTTCTCTCCGTCCGTGTTTGGCGCGATGTTTCCGAAGCCGATGCTGGTCAGGCTGGTCATGGTGAAGTACAGCGAGGTGATGTAGACCGAGTCTTTGCTGGGCCCGCCCTCCCAGCGGCCCGAGCCCGAGGCATTGAATCTGTAGGGCGTCCCGACAGTCTCTCCCAGCAGGTACAGCCAGCTGTCCATTCTCACCGTGTTGGCGTCCTCATCAATCACCTCGTAGTCTCCGATGCTGTACCAGATGCAGGCCAGCCAATGGGCCGCCAGGCCGAACACGCACACCAGCAACACGAGAACCGCCGCGCCATACTCGATGTAGTGGTCCAGCTTCCTGGCGACCCGGCCCAGACGCAGCAGACGGACGACTTTGAGCGAGCTGAAGAGACTGCTGATTCCCTGTGGAGGGACAGGAAGAGAGGATACATGAAGAAGAATCATCGTCTCAGCAGCTCTGAGATAAAAATGTCTGAATTATAACTGAATCTACCGGAAACATGTCACACACTGGTTCTAACTGAGCCACGAAACTGTGTCGTGATGCGAGTTCAAATCTCTGTCAGACGCAGCTGTCTGTGTGCAGACTGGGAACTTTTATTGATGCTTTTATTCTGTAAAGGTTTTCATTGATTGGAAATCTGGACGAGCTCTGAACGTCTCTCGTCAGATCACAGACGACGTCATCGTGTTTTCAGCTGCTGATGTTTTTCAAACCTCCGAGCATCAGGATCATGAAGTGTGTTCACCTGAGATAAAACCACGACAGACTCTGAGCAGCTGCAGCACAGGACTTCAATTATTCATCCGTTCATTCGTTCATTGAGTCGTTGAGTTGTTCGTTCATCTGTTCATTGATTGATTGATTCGTTCCTTCATTCCTTCATGCCTTCCTCTGGTTGTTTGATCGATGTATTCACAGGAGGATAACTCTGGATCTGATCATTTTATTCAATATTCTGATGATAATTTAATCTCAACACTTGATTTGAATTTTAAATTATAATATATAGAATAAAATTTGCAGATTTGTGAGTTCAAATTTCAGGATTTTTAAAACTTTAAAGATCTTTTAAGATTTTAAAGATTCTCATGACGTCTAAAAGGAAAAAGGCTGGTGACAAAGTGCATATTACATATTAGAATCATCAGAGACTCTTGACTGAGCTCAGTGTTTGTAGTTCTCAGATCTCCCTCTTCACTCTCCAGTCCGGATGAAACACGTATGAAACATGTATGAAACACGTATGAAACATGTATGAAACACGTATGAAACATGTATGAAACACGCAGCAGCTCTGCCACTTACAAACACGTCCTCTCATGTTTGTCTGTGTGCAGCCTCTCATCAGACCTCTCAGCCGCTGCTCATCAACTAAACTGTTTCCTCTCTGCAGGAAAAAAAACCCACAATGCACTGCTCCTCCATTAATGGCACTGAGAGACTCTGAGGGGTTAACCTCCCCCCTCCCCCCTCCCCCAACACTTCATGTCCCTTCACTCAACAACTTTGTTTTTCTCTTTTCTACGGAAGCTCACACAGGACACTTTGTTTTCCTTCGATAATTATCTAACGAAAGAGACGTAACGAGCTTCGCTTTCCTGCGATGACACAAATATATGTTGTTTAACCCCCCCCACACACACACACACACACACACACACACACACACACACACACACACACACACACACACACCAGCGTTTCAATTTCGACCCATCAGCATATCTCAGCCGTGACCCCCCTCCCTCTCTCTCTCTCTCTCTCTCCCTCTCTCTCTCTGATCAGACTCCGTGGTCACATCCTGCGGTCGCTCTGCGTCGTCTCTCATTTCATGCCTGGGCTGGACGGGCCGCTGTGGGTCACATGACTGAAACACTGAGTCCAGTGATTTACGGTGAAGCTCTGTCCGGCAGCTGCTACAGACTGAAATCAAAGTTGCTGCAGCGACATAATCGCTCACAGTCGACGTTTTAAAGGCAGATTTACTGAAAGAAAAACAAAACAAGTTGAGATGTTTTTCTATCTGAAAATCATCGTAGAGTTTTAACGTCATACGAGTTCACACCAGCTCAGGGATTTAAAACACATCCGCTGCAACACAAGTGAAAAACTGAGCTGAGAAACTGAAGGAAGAAATAAATGAGTTTCAGAGTCTGGAGTGAAACCAGGACGTCAGCTCAGTGAGACATTTATTCTGGTTTGTCCCGTCTCCTCGTAGAAGAACTGACAAATACTCAAAGAGCAAAGGGTCACGAGGAGGAGACGAGTGATTGGCCCCTCCCCTGCACCTGAATACTTCATGTGTGTGAAGCAGCTGTTGTCCTGTGGCACTGACCTCATCCACGTTTTCGAAGGCGTTGATTACGTCATAAGGCAAACAGGACAGCAGGTCGATGACGAACCAGGTTTTGACGTAGTTCATGCGGATTAGTTTCGGGTCGGAGATGACTTCTCCGGCCGGGCCGACGAAGGTGGTGTGAAAGTTGAGGACGATGTCGACGAGGAAGATGACGTCCACGATGCTGTCCACCACCAGCCAGGTGACGTTGTTCTGCTTGGTCTTGAAGGAGACGTTGTAGGGCACCATGATGGCGGTGTAGAAGGTGAGGATGAGGATGACCCAGTCCCACGTGGTCTTGAAGAGGCAGTAGTGCAGGATGATATGTGGCGGCGTCTTCGGCGTTTCCTGTTTGTACTGAGGCAAGATGTCCGACCCCAGCTGGAGAACCTGAGAGGAAACACGCCGAGCGTCAGGCTGCAGTTCTTTGTTCAAACTTTGGACACAAAGTGTGAACAGGAAAAAAAAGAATCATCACGGAGATGAAACGCTTCCTCGTCCTCATCCATTAATAAACAAGTTCAAATTTCAAATCTGTCTGAAATCTGAATTATTCAACAAGTTCAAGTTCAACACAGATCAGTGTTTCATAAAACAACACGTGAGATTAGATAAAGGAGCAAATGAAGATGGAGGAGTTCAGTGGATTTAACTTTAATCATGTTGCGTTTCATTTGTTTGTCGTGTTTTATTATTTGTGTGATTTATCTTGCTGATAAAAAACCAGGATATTTTCCACAAAGCAGCAGGAAACTGACACAAAGAAAAAAAATCTACTATTTCTCTCTGACTCCGGTTCCTCTGGTTTTAAATACTCATTATAATGGATTATCTACAATTCAATCATATTTAATAATTCTGAACTTCAGATCATTAATATATCAAATGTTTGTGGGTGTCAGGGATCTAAAGGATCTAGAGGATCTTCAGGATCTAAAGGATCTAAAGGATCTAAAGGATCTAGAGGATCTTCAGGATCTAAAGGATCTAAAGGATCTAGAGGATCTACATGATCTAGAGGATCTAAAGGATCTAGAGGATCTACAGGATCTACATGATCTAGAGGATCTAGAGGATCTACAGGATCTAAAGGATCTACAGGATCTAAAGGATCTAGAGGATCTAAAGGATCTAAAGGATCTTCAGGATCTAGAGGATCTAGAGGATCTCCTGTGACCCAGTGATGAACCTGAACTGAGAGCGAGGTGGACTCAGACCATCAGTAAACACTCTGTCAGACGACAGGAAGATGGAGACGTCGGAGCGTCTTTAAAAGCTGCAGATGCTGTTTGTATCAGTTGTATCGTTCTGTCTGTGTCGTACTTTATCAAACCTGATCCCTGCTACAGGTCCGTGGTCTGAGCACAGAAGTTATTTATAAAACATCAGGACTGAGCTCAGCTGCAGTGAATCGTCTTCTATGAAGTCTGAAACTGACACTGATGCAGGACAGGACACGCGAGGCCCCCTGCAGGGGGTTTCTGCCGGTGCAGGTCAGTCATCGACTGTAAATAAAGATGGACGTCACCACTTCCTGTGTTTCCCCTCCACTGAACACTCCGGACAAATTCCTGCTGCGCTGCTCATATGTGAAAGACAAACTCCAGAGAAAGTCTGTGAGGACATTCTCTGGAGTTCATGTCTGAAACTTCTGTAACTCTGGTTGTGTGATTGTCAGTATCTGCTGTGTGTGTGTGTGTGTGTGTGTCTGTTGTGAGGCTTTTGCATCCTGTGTTCTGTATTTCTGTTTATCCACCGGTGTGAGACGTTCGGCCGTCGTAGGTTTTATTATGAACAGAAAAGATTTGGTGATCTTACCTCCGCCAGCCGTGAGTGTTTGTGGACGTTCTCTCCTTTCTGCACGGCCGGAGCGAGCTGCTGGAGAACTCCTCGACTGCTGGTTAACGCTCGAGTCAGACGGGCAAATTTACCCCAACCTGCCGACAACACGGTCAACGACATCATGAGACTGAACCAAACATCAGCTGGTGGAGGGGGGGGGGGGTTGAGATGAGCTCATCACATTTTGGAGTGGACATACTTCATGGATCTCGATGTTCAGAGAACTGATATTTATGAGTGTGTGTGATTTGTGGTTGTGTGAGGTGTGAGCTCTGCTGAGACATGATGTTCTACTTCATTTACTTCAATGTGAAAACAAATATGAAATGAGTGCTTGAAAAAGGAGGAAGTGGTTTTTTTTATTTCTGTCACTGACCTACTTTTGTTTTTAATCCTGTTCAGTGAATCACTTCGAGCTGCAGCTTTGTATGAAACGTGCTTTATGAAGGTTATTATCAGAATCCACACAGATTTCTACTTCGTCACGGAGCGCTAACCTGCGTTCTTGAGCCACACCCACCTTTTGAGGAGTCATCCTCGATTGGTTGCTTGAAGGCGGTGATGTCACTGAAGGTGCAGAGAAACAGGACGACTTTGTCCTGCTCGTTCCTGATTGGAGCAATCTTCACAAAAAACCAAACGGGCATCCCTACAGCACCGAGGGAAAAGAATCAGCCTGATGTCCCACAATCCATTGCACTCGATTCACACAAAGAGCTGGACTGAATATAACATGAAACAAAATGAGACTGCAGATGAATGAAGCTGAACGATGAGTCGTCAGCTCTCTCCTCTGTCGGCCTCCATCCAGAGATCTGATCCCTGACGGCATGACGGCCTCCAGTTCCTCACATTTGGGGAAATTCAAGTCAGATGAAAACGTCGCACGAGTTCACGACACACAGGACAAAGAACAGAATTTCAAACAAAACCACGAGTACTCACGGTTCTTCTTGTACATCAGAATCTCAAAAGAGTTCATCTCATAGTTCTCAAAGGTCAGACGAACCTTCTCACTCATTTCTTTGTCCGTCAGCTCTCCGTACATGAAGCTGCAGCACAAAACACAAGTGTTCTGCTTATAGAGTACAAACACACACACACACGTACACGCACACTCACACTCACACACACACACACTCACACTCACACACACACACACACACACACACACACACACACTCACACTCACRCAGACACACACACACACACACGACGCTGCGCTCGTACCTGCAGGTGCTGCTCTTCTGCATGACCTCTGCTCGGTGGTAACCAGACAGTTTGCAGAAGCCGTCGTTGCTGTAGACGATCGGCCAGTCGACGATCTGAGCGTTCCCCAGCACGAAGTTTGTATCTGAGCGCAAACACCAGTCGGTTAGAATCTGTCTCCACTGATCACATGACACACACGTGTTTTATAGCACACGGCTGCATGATCGATCAGAGCTGGGTTTGCTGCAGCATTTTTATGAGCAATTAGTCCAAATATTATTTTTAACAATTTAACATTTGGTTTATTTTTATTAATTAATGAATCAACCAGGGAACCAGAATCTTTTTTGCCCAAACATCTATAAGGAATCCTGCAGCCTCAGATCAGCATCACTACTTTCTCTTTTTCATTCTGTCCGTCAGTCCGCAGCGTCTCTGCAGTAGAACTGTGACCAGGACATATGAACACATGAGAGTTTCATGTCATGAGCACATGTAGTTTTTCTCATTAATATTCAGTCTGGACACAACAAGACAAACAGCTAACGGCCAATCACAGCCCAGCAGCAGCGACACATGGACACCAACAGTTTACAGCAGAGAGTGTGTGTGTGTGTGTGTGTGTGTGTGTGTGTGTGTGTGTGTGTGTGTGTGGGGCCTTGACACATTCATTACAGTCGTAGCGGGACGTCAAACTTAAAACTGACTTGCTCTGTGATCAGATCATTAAACATGTTCAACCAGGTGGTGGCGTCCTTTTTACACAAACATGATTCTAATCACGTGCACAGTGTGTGCATGTGTGTTGCTGTCCTTCATTATTACATCATTAACCTGCTGCCTTTCATTAATTGAGTTTTAAAGTGGTTCAGCCTGAAGAGCTGCTCGTACTTTTACTCTACTCTTTTCTTTCCATATTTAATTTTGTATAAATGAAAATATCAAATCTAAAGTTGGGAATAAATGTGAGGGCAAAGAATCAAAGACTTCAGGAGAACGATGTGACTCACGTCTGATCTCTGTTTCTCTTTCTGACAAAATGTCGTTAATGAAATGAGCTACCATAGAGAACCAGAGACTGTGATGAACGGGATCAACCCGTTTCCTGTGCAGCAGCGCTTTATTTTCTACTACATCACATGACCTGGTGCTTCCACATTCAGGTTCAACTTCCTGAATATTTCACAGCTACATTCATTTTTCAAACTAAAGTCTGACTCCAGTGGAGAGGAAGATAATGTGCAGCTGTGCGGGCTTTAATACGTCCTGAATAAAAATGAAATAAACCTTCACAACATGACCGCTCCGATGAAAAATACACAACAGGACATTAAGTCACACAACTCAGGATGAAGATCTGAAACACACACGCACAACAAAGTCACGACAAAATGACATCAATGTTTGAAAAGGTGAAATAAAATGTATTAAATCACTTTCACTTTAGACTTCATGACATAATTCAACCATCTCCTATAGACCATTATTTATTCTGACAGAATCTGTACCTAGATCATTTTATATCAAAACTAAAATAATAACATTCTCTTGATAACGATATAAAGTGAAGTCCCTGTTGACATTTAATGTTTCAATAAATAGTTGTATACTTAGTTGTAAGCAGATGTGTTATATTCAGTGAGAACATAATAACTTAGGTCTAATAACAGTAATAATATCATATCTATATATAAATATTCTATATGTATTATTGTTACCTAAACGAAAAGGATTTGTTTTTATTGTTTTATTAACTGTTTGTATTCTGCATCTTATTTATTTAAAATGGCCGCTCAAACATAATGAATTCTCACATTGATCAGGATGATTCTGATCATTTCTGTGACCTTCACTCCAGCGCCACCATCAGGGGAGGAGGTGCAGCTCTTTAGAATTCAGCGGCTGATTTAATCCTCTGGAACTGAATGAGCTGATGAACTGATGAACTGATGAACTGATGAACTGATCGTCAGGTTAATTCGTTGTTCGTTCACCAAACTATTCCAGAGAATTCTCTGCTGCTCATTTACATACTGCAGAGTGTGTGTGTGCTTCAGGTGTTACTCATGTTGTGGGGACCTTCATCACAGTCAGGAGAGTTAAGGTAAGGTTAGGTGAAGGTTAAGGTAAGGTTAAGGTTAAGGTAAGGTTAAGGTAAGGTGAAGGTTAAGGTAAGGTGAAGGTTAAGGTTAAGATAAGGTAAGATAAGGTTAAGGTTAAGATAAGGTAAGATAGGTAAGGTAAGGTTAGGTAAGGTTAGGTTAAGAATAGGTTTAGGTTTAGGTATGGTTAAGGTAAGGTAAGGTTAAGGTTAAGGTTAAGGTAAGGTTTAGGTATGGTTAAGGTAAGGTAAGGTAAGGTTAAGGTAATGTTAGGTTAAGGTAAGGTTTAGCTTTAGATTATTGTTAGGTATTGTTTACAGTAACGTTAGGTTTAGTTCAGGGTTCAGATTAGATCAAGGTCAAATTAAGGTCAGAGTTAAGGTAAGTTAGATCAGGTTAAGGTGAAGTAAAGATAGGTAAGAGGGGGAGTGGTTAAGTGAATAAATACATATGTATTTACTAAGACTAACACTCTGTTCAATGACGTCACTTTGGATCATTTTGAGATCATTTTTCATCACAACACTAAATATCTTTTCTTTCTGTTCATGTTTTGGTCATGAGGCCAGACAACAGCGTTTAAAGGTGAAAGTTGGAGCGAGGTCGAGTGGTAACATGAGGTAGAAGGTTTAGGTTTAACTCTGCGGACGTTATTAAATGGTCTAAAGTTAAATTGAATCAAATCTGTGGTCGATACAAGTTAACGAGATCAAATGTCAAAAACATTCAGGACAGAAAAAACAAGCACGAGACACAACAGCGAGGATTTAACACACAGATACAACATGTGTGTTCAGAGGCTGGGAGCAGAACACGCACACAATGACAGGATGTGGAAACTGGTCTGTACCTGTCTGTCTATGTGATAATGTCCAAACTGAAAAGGTGGAAAGAAAAGTGGTTAAAGAAGCAGAAACAGTCGCAGTGAGAACAGAGCGAAATGTGGTTCATCTGAATAACGTGGAGAAGCTGAGGTCACAGTGAATTTAAAAAACTACACCTCCGTCCCGAGGGTCCGTCTGTCGCTGACTTTACTCTTTACACTTCCTCCTCTCGGCATCGCTCCCCTCGAGTCTCGTGAAAATAATAATTCAGTGAATTCGGAGACGATTTTACGGCTTCTGTCGGCCAGGAGAGGAAAGCCACTTCTGCTCAGCCTCTGAGTTTAAAGCTCCAGTGTGTGAAAGGATCCGTTATCTATAAATGTAATGTTTAAGATTACTTTATCATCATGTTGCATGTAATCCACACAATTGAACTGTATCTTGCTCTCCCTCAGATCACACACACACACAACACATGCATTTCAGAGGGGAGCAGGGCAGCCGTTATACGGACTTGAGCCGGTGACCCTCCGGTTCCCTGGACGGATATAAGAATAATAAGAATAATCTAAAATATATGAATTGTAGTTTTCTTTACCCCAGAAAAGATCCTTAATATTTAAATACTTTATATTTACATGGAGGGGACCCTCTGTACGGAGGCCGCCATGTTTTTTACATTAGTCCAGAAACTAAAACCTTTTGAGTTTTTATAACAACTGAAGCTGCCACGGGTCCTGGCTGCACCATGACACTTCACCACTAGATGTCACTAAATTCTACACACTGAACCTTTAAAGCTGAGGCAGAAATCACAATTCTTATTGTTCCTGAATCATCAATGTTTCTGTTTTCATTTTAGGGAAACTTCTGTTGTGTGTTATACACAGCTCAAAAACATGAAGGGAAGACTCAACGTTCAGGGTAAAGTTAAACTTCAGGTCCATGAGTCCATTCAGAAGAACAAGTGATTGTCACAACAGGTTCAATGAGACAAAATGTTTTTAATGTGGTGTCCACAGACAGCTGCTGTCTCCTGGTCCTTCCTGACTCACTCTGGTTCTGTGTTCTGCTCGTGTCCTCGTCACTACTGGTAGCATGAGGCGCTACCTGCAGCACCAACATAGTCCAGCTCCTCCAGGAGGACACATCCACATGTGTGGTCACAAGAAGGTTTGTGTCTCCCAATGCAGTCTCCAGTGCCTGGAGGAGACACCAGGAGACACCAGGAGACACCAGGAGAGCTGGACAGTAGAAGAGCATCATCCCAGCAGCAGGACCAGTATCTGCTCCGTTGTGCGATTGGCATTCGCCAGAGAACACCAGGTAGTGGCAGGTTCACACTGAGCACATGTGACAGGTGTGAAAGAGTCTGGAGACACCGTGCTCAACAGCTCCCTGACTGCTGTTAGGCGCCGTGATGAAATCAGAGGGATTGTAAGACCTTACACCGGTGCAGTGGACCCTGGGTTCCTCCTGGTGCAGTGGACCCTGGGGTCCTCCTGGTCCTGGATGACAAAGGCGTTGATGCCATTGACTGACCCTCGCGTTCCTCTGACCTAAGTCCAGTTGAGCACCTATGGGACATTATGCATGCGACGCCACCAGGTCCGTCCACAGACTGTCCAGGTGCTCAGTGATGATCCAGCTCTGGGAGGAGATCCCCCAGGACTCCATCCTCCATTTTATACTAGAATCAATCATCAAGATCTGATGTGTGATGTAAGTGTCCCTTCATGTTTCTGAGCAGTGTATTTTCACCACATGTATACAGCCGTCTTATAACTTACAGCGTCACACCAGGTTCAGTACATGACCATTAAACAGTGGTAACAGTAAATTATATTATATATATATATATATATAGTTAATATCAGTGTCGACATCACCTGCCCCCAAAAACTCTCAGCTCTGATTTAGACATCGTAGACAATATTCACATTTGAGAAACTATTTCCTGAAAACTTGATCTTGATCAGTGCTGCCCATGAAATGTTTGCGTAAAAGAACCAACTGATTATTTCTGCTGCAGTTTTCCGGTCACCTAAGCATCAAGTGGTGCCCCGTGGGAGGTTCGATTCGTCACACCCGAGACTGGGGCACAAGTATTGTTGCGTTAATTTGATGTTAACGTTTCCTGGATGATATAAATAAATGACCTGCTTATTAAAAAAAAAACTAATTTCAGTCACTAGCTTATCGTAAAGTGTTGCTGGGTGATGAACTGTCATGTTTGGGTTTTTCTAAAATGATGGAGCCCATCACCAGCTGGTGCTCCAACCACCGATCCCAACATGACACCTTCCCCAGCGCAGACACAACAGATTCAGGTGTGTGAACCGGACAGAACCGGATCTTACCGTTGGACCTGCGGACGATGTTTTCCAGGAACGTGTTCTGAGGAGCCACGAGACCCCGACGTCCTCCCGCCATCCTGTCCTCCTGCGGCACGAGACACAGCCGCTTCCCGCCACTCACATCTCTGATGCAGCGCGAGCCTCACGAGCTGCAGCTCTCCCACCCCTCCCCTCTCTCTCTCTCTTTCTCTCTCCCT